AAACTATTGGGCGGAGCTAGCTGTCACTGCTAGCTCCGCACAATCGTTTGCTATTTACTTTTTACAAACTTTTTTCACTATTTTTCTGTTCTGCTCGGTCCCTCTGAGGGACCGGGCAGAACAGCCGAGCTGAATGCCTTCTGCACGTTCGGCCGAACATGCTGAGCATGTTCGGCCGACCCGAAGCCACGCGAAGCCAGCCGATGTACGGCTGATTTCAGCCGATGTACGGCTGAAATTAGCCGTACCAGCCTGAAGTGAATAGCCGAACAGTGTTCGGCTCACTTCACTTCAGATCGGTCATTCACTCGGCTGCCCTCGGCAGCTTCGTGAATAGACCCCTAAGTTGTCAATTCTTCCACATGAGGGTTGAAATTGACTACACATGCGGTTATTAAAAGGATGGTGACCAAAGTAGGATGGGTCTAAGCTGTGACCCCTGTGATATAGTATTGGGGGAATGTGGTAATGGTGCCCAAGGTGAAGAGTGTGGGACCTCTGAGCTTTTCAAAAGATAACAAACTAATTTCTTCCTGCAGTAAGAAAAAAATATATTAGAATTCAAGTATCGTAAAACGTCCTTTGCAAGGTTTAAATATTATTTTTAGTGCTTTTATAAGTTGTTCTTTTAGTCCATGTATATGGAAGGGGATTTCTATGACTTAGTAACTCTCAGTTTTGAATTTTACAAAGTAATTAGAGTCAAGGTAGATCTTATTTTGATCACGTTCCATTTTTTGCAATTCAGTTCTTCATTTTAATCAACATAATAAGCATGCTGGAATATAGTTAATACTGAGTTCCAGCAACAAAATGTGTGTATTTATTTTTTTATGTAGAGAGATATAAAAGACATCCTGACTCCAATACACATGGAATCCCGGTACTATCTCGGAAGACACATAGTTCACAGAAGGAATACAGATGAGTTCAAACCACTTCTACCAATTCTACAGAAGAAAGATGGATTAGAAAATGTGTTACGAAACATGGTAAGGATCAAACCATAGATTATTTAACATTGTGTCTGAGGGACATATCTCTTTTAGATTAGAAGCAGGGATGAGATTTGGGTTTGCCTCCACCTTTGATTTGAGGTTGATATAGGATAGGACTGATTTTGCAATCCTGTGCTTGGGAACAACCGATAATGAACTGCGTTATGTTTTTGCCCCAGGCTAGCTGAGTCACAAGCCAGTAATTTGATGGGATGGATAACTCACTATCAATAGGTGGACTTACAGCAGCCATGTTGACAGTTTGTTGGACAGTCAAGATACATAACTTAAGAAACATTTTTCCATCCCTAGACAAAATCAAGCTCTTAACCCTTGCAGTGCAGGGGTGACCCCACTGCAAGGATCAACTTTAATAAATCCTAGAGTTCTTCTTTAAGAGTGCCATGTAATCCATTATATGTTAGTTGCCTGTAGCCAAACTGAAGAATTCTATGTTTGAAGAGCCTTTAGGCTATAAAGGGCCCATACAGCCCTCTCAGTGTCCAAGCTGTGATGACTAAATGCTTTGACAATGCAAGAAATTGGATATTGATCTAAAACATATTAAGCTATAACATTGGTGTGTATGGTTATAAATGACAGATGAAAGACAAAAGATACCCTTGGCATTGAAGAAGCTCAGTGTTACATAGTTACATAGTATTTGAGATTGAATAAAGATACAGGTCCATCAAGTTCAACCTTTGTGTGTCTGTGTGTGATTGTGCATGTGTATATGTGTACACAAGTCCCTGTGTGTCCTTGTTTTTAAGTGTACCTGTGCCCCTGTATGTTGCGGTCTCTAAGGAAGGTATCTAAATGCTTTTTGAATGATTCAATACTCTCAGCTGATACCACTTCTTGTGGCAGAGAGTTCCAGACTTTAACCGCTCTGACTAAAAAAAAGCCCCTACGCCCCTTGTGGTTAAATCTTTTCTCCAACAATTTTTCGGTGGTGACCTCTAGTCTTTGTTATGGAGTTTACTGTAAAAAGTTTATTGCTGATGTTGCCATTACCACTAAACATTTTGTACATCAAAATCATGTCCTCTCTTAATCTAGTGTAATGCCCAAAATGGGGTTGTGGTTGTCAAACGTAGGGAGGCTACAGTCAGGACCCCTGCATATTGAGGCTCAGTGCAACCCCTGTTCCCGATCACTAACAATGGTGCAGCAAATGTGGATGATGTTTGATTTTAGTTTTGATGTGGCTTAATGTATCCTGTTTTTAATAGTAAAGGGTGGGAAAACAAAGAGAGGTCACTGTCTTAAAAAAAAAAAGCCCCAAATTCAGGGGAACAAAATGTTTATCAGCCACAGTAAAAAACAGCCGCAGAGCAGAAGATGATCTTGGGTTAAGATAAACACAGTCAGGATTTCCTTATTTTGATAACCAGCAAGAATGTGACACGATGAACATTTCTGATGCTGAATAATTCATTATTTCAGCAATTCAATCATCTTTAGTCATCTGGACAGAGTTCATTAGTCTAAAGGGGTTTTTACTTTTGTTCAGTCCTTTATTTTCTCAGTAAAGTAAAAGTTCAACATTCTACAAAATACTGCTAAAGCTGATTTGTTCTCGCCGGATATAATCCATTCTCCGTGATTTACTTGCTTTTTTTGGGGGGGGGGGGGGGGTTTAGAAGCATGATGAAGGTTATTGTGAATGTTAA